ACTGGACTTGGTGTCTTCTCAAGGTCCCTTCTAGTTCTAGTATTCTATGATTCTATGATTCCAGTGACTCTACTTGTGGAATGAAGGTATCAGTGAACAAGAGTAAAGATACTGAGCCTGACCCCTTAGGCTATGTCTACACTACAAATAGCCACATCCACACTACAAGGAAGCCTCAAAAATAGTCCCTTAAGGTGCATCTACACTGCACCCAGAGCATGAAATAAGCAACGCAATTTCAAAATATATTGTTATTCCAAAATGTCCCTTACTCCTCGTGGAATGAGGTTTACAGAAACATCAGAATAGTGAGCCTGTTATATTTCGAAATAATGGGCGTCAAAAGATATGGAATAGCTATTTTGAGGTACCTCCAGTATCCCGAAATAGCGCTGCAGTGTAGACGTAGCCTTAATGAGGACACGTTACTTTGACTGAGAGCCCCAAGATGCACTGTGGACTAATTACTTTGAATGACTCTGGGGAACAGTTATTTCGAAATAGCAGCTGAGTGTCCACACTAACCCTATTTTCAAATAGCAATTTCCAAAGAGGTGTTATTCAGGGTTATTATTTTGACATTTGCATTTAATTTTTTCATCTGGAAACAGACTTCCATACAGAAATTGGCTCAAATTTATTTTTTAAAAGGCTAAAAAAAGAAACATTGCGATGTCTATGTAAACCTCATTCCACGAGGAGTACGGGACATTTTGGAATAGCACTATATTTCAAAATTGCATAACTTATTTCACAGCTCATCTTGTTATCTCAAAATAACGGGAGTTATTTTGAAATAACTCTGTAGTGTAGACATGTCCTTAAGTATTAGTATATTAGCTTGCCAAAGTCTGGTAGGATTAGCTTTATCTATCTGTTTACCTTGAGCTGCTGCTGCTGTACTTTATATTCACTAAATTTCAAGTGATATTGTGTTGTTACAGCTGAACTAATTGGCCTTCCTTCCACTCCTAGAGCTGTGCAAATAATTGAAATAATTAGAAAAAAAAAGTTTGAATCAACCCAGAATGAGAATTTTCCAGTTTTTTCAGTGGATTAAAATTTTTAAAAAAATGATTCTTCAGAACATTTCCTTTTTTGCAATGTTTCTTTTTTTAGCCTTTTAAGAAAATGAATTTGAGCAAATTTCTGTATGACAGTTTGTTTCCAGATGAAAAAATTAAATGCAAATGTAAAAATAAACTATTTTCATGTAAAAAAAGGAAACCAGCCAAAACTGTTCACAAAATTCAACGTGAATTCATGAGTAGTTCCGCCTCACCTGACATAGCATTTTTTGGCAAATATTAGTAAAAAAAAGTAATCCACTATATCAGTGTCCAATATTCTGGGTCTTAAACAGTAGCCAATTACTGAAGAAAGTGAAAGGAAGCTGGTATTGGTCAGTAATGGAATAATCCTGCCATTTTGTGATTGGTTTATACCTTGAAGCATGAGTTTATATATCACTTATAAAAAGAAGCTTTTTCCTTACTATGTAATATCATATGGCATGTTTTCATTATTCAAATAAATGTCAAATCCTGTTCTGAATATTACTATGCTTTTGGTCACAAGGAGACCTCCTTGGCAATTGAACTGTGTTGTGTAAAAAGGTATTTCCTTTCATTAGTTTTGATTTTTTTCCTTTTGGTTGCGTTGAATGTTCCTTTGTTCTTACTAGAAACCAAGAGTAGAGGCACATTATTCACCCTCCCTATATCATTCTTTGCTTTTTTACCTCTATCACATCCTCAGTTACCTGTCTCTTTTCTAAAACAAAAACCCCAAATCTATTCAGTTGCTCTATGGAGCCATGTGTACACTACATGGAAGATCAACGCTGCTGCGGTTGATCTTCTGGGGTTTGATTTAGTGTGTCTAGTGAAGACCCACTAAATCAAACTCAGAGGGTGGCCCTGTCAGCACCAGTACTCCTGTGCTTCACGAGGAGTAAAGGAAGCCAATTGGAGCATTTGCTCCCATCAATCTCCTGCTGTGTGGATGGCAATTTAAGATATGTCGACTCAAGCTACGTAATTAACATCGCTGGAGTTGCATATCTTAAGTCGACTTTCCGCTTTAATGTAGACCAGGTCTGGGAGGCTTGCCATACGCTGCCTATCTTAAAGTCTCTCCTCCAATTCCAGCAGACCAGAACTGAACTAAAGCATTCCAGTTAGAACGTATCACTGATATAAACTGATGACCTTCTGTCCCGAGTGGTTAGGCGGTAATCAGGTCGCATAGGATTGCTTCCTTTAGAAGGAGAAATGGATGATACAAGTTAGATACGTTTTTGGCCACGCTTACTTATTTACAAAGAATACACAAAGTCCTGTTTACATGAACACAGTAAAAATTAACAACAGGACGTGTCCTTGCTCACTATTTTCAGGTATATTTCTCCAGTCAGTCTTGTGCCCCAAGGAGCTCTGTCTCTCTTACCCCCTCAGGCCCACAGTCATGACTATTTGCTTTTCTTACTGACTCTTAGCTCTTCTTCCTTTTTTGCTCCTCTCACACATGTCGCTTGCCATATAAGGCCCTTAATTTCTGCATTTGCAGTCAAGAATTCCCTCCACCCAAAAGAGTTTGGAATGCAGCTGATCGCTTTGGGCAATGGCTTTTATTGTTTCTGGCTATCTCACTACATAAAGGGCCTTCATTGCTCCTTCCATTTAGCCTGAAAGATGGTTCATAGCACACCCATGCCGAAGGTTAAAGTTAACTTTTCCATCACTGCCACAGTAAATAAATATTCAGTAGCGATTTCTAAAGCTACCTAGAAGATTTGCACTCTGTTATTGCTTTGAATATTAAATCAACATCCTGTTTTGAAAATCTCAGCTTTAATTACCATAGTTCTCAACCAGCCAATAGGAGCTGAGAGATTGGTCTGAGGCACCGAGGCAGTGCAAGCCTCTTCCCCAACACAGAGCTGAGAGCCACATAGAGGGAGCAGCCTGCAGTTTTAAGCTGTCTGGGGCTGCAGCAGGCAGGGAGCCCAGCCTGCCTTGGGGTGCTGCAGGGCTGCTGGCAGGGAGATATTTAGGTAAGCGCCTGCCAGCCAAAGCCTGCCTCTGGCATCCTAGCGCCTCCCACACCACAACTCCCTCTCCCAGGTCACCATGAAAGCCCTCTGCACCTCCTTGCCCCAGGACTCAACTCCCTCCCAGATGCTGCACCTCCTCCTAAATCCTTTCCTCAGGCCAGAATCCTCTCCTGAACCCATACTCCCTCCATGATTCTACACCCCATTCCCCTGACCCAGGTCACAACCCCCTCTTTCACCCAAACTCACTCTCAGATCTCACACAGGCTCCTGCACCCCAGTCCCTTACCCCGTGTGCCCTTCTGCACCCAACGTCCATCCTAGACCAAGCACCTAAACAACCAAAAAGTGCAGCCTTTGGCCACTTTCCAAAATCTTGGAGTGCCACGCCCCCTCCAAAAATTATTGCCTACCCCTGTTCTACAGCAAAGATTATCATTTATGCATCCTGGATGAATGTAGTCAATGGGTTTCAAACTAGAATGTGCTTGAATGTTGCAGTGTTGACCAGCGGATATTGAAATGTATACTTGTGGCAATTCTTGTGCTGAAACCAGATAACCATTCAAAACAGTCCCTGCATGGAAGCAAATTCTAATACATGCACACCATTATTGTGGTTTCATTTCTGGTAACTGGGTCATCCTAGTACCATTTCAGATCTAGTTGTATCCTGGTCAATTCTTGCATCCCTCTCTCCTAAGATGACTGCATCACATCAGGATGATGCACTAGACACAATGTCTTGTAACATGAAATAATAAGCATCTTTTTTAGCAACAGGCTTTGAAGCATCTGGTGCCTATGCTCTGTAAATTACGACATTCTATGCTCAAGCTGAAAACGACAGCGATCAGGTATGGAGAATGAGCCTGCCAAGTCAGTCGTGCTGATTGCTCCCACATTCACTGAAGCAGTGTGCCCATCAGATATCTCACAGGCATGCAACAGTCGAAAGGCCTGAGAATTCCAAGCGAGAGCCGTGCTCTCAGCGTTCCATTTCCACCGTTTCCGCTATGCGGAATGTCACTACATAATGTCAAACAGAGCCACAGAAGACTTCAACATTGTGTTTGTGGACAATGCTTTTGACTCAAAGCTCCTGTGAAAATTGCTACACAGTATGGAGTGCCAGATGGCTTCACGTACCGAATGGAGGTTCTCTACTGCAGTTCATTGAGCCATGAGGGTCAACGGTTGTCTTACAGACTGGTTTCCAGAAGTGTCAGGAGTTTGCCAGGGAGACTTACTCTCATCGGGCATGTCTACACTTGCTCCCTATCTCGAGATAGAGATGCAAATATAGTGTACCAAAATTGCTAATGAAGCATGGGATTTAAATATTCTGTGCTTAATTAGCATAATCACGTCCGGCTGCCATTTTGAAATCAAATTATTGAGAAATAAAATGCCCCAGGTATCAGCGTTATTTCAAGAGGAAAACCCTTTTCTCGAAATAACTGTTAAACCTCATTGTATGTTAAACAGAGAAGGGTTTTCTCTCACAATAATACTGCTACATGGGGCATTTTATTTCTCAATAATGCAATTTCAAAATGGTGGCTGGACGCAATTATGCACTCAATAATGCAATTTCAAAATGGTGGCCGGACGCAAGTATGCGAATTAAGCGTGGGTTCTGGAAGAGCCGAAAGAGGGGCTGTAACTTGGTGCACTCAAGATAAACGTGCACCGGCGTGGGTTCTGGAAGAGCCGAAAGAGGGGCTATAACTTGGTGCACTCAAGATAAACATGCACCAGTGTCTTCCTCACACCACAGAAGGGGCAAGTGTCGGGAACAGGGGTGAACCGTGCCAAGTACATGCCCGTGCTCACAGCATCATGGAAGATTCTCCAGCTGATTTCCCCGGTGGGCCACAGAACCAAGGTGGAGTAGAGACTGGCCCACCGGATCTCCCCACCCTCTATTAACAATGGCAGTTTGTGCGTGGGAGGTGGAATGTCTGTGTGACAACGAGGCTACCCGTGTTCAATGCAGTCATGACAACAATTCTGTCATATGGCGCAGAACCATTCGCGGAGGACAGGAAAAGAAAGGGGTTTTCTTTCACCAAATGGCAAAAGTTACAGTGTATTCTTACCATCCATTGCTTTAACTTTTTCACAAACAAGGAGATATTTAGATGGTCCTGGAAAGTGGTCATCTTATACCAGTTGAGAACAGAAGTCTTCAAAGGTGAGGACACGTCCAATTTGCAGAAGAAAGTATGCTTCTACAGAAGGTTCCTACAGCTGATCTTGAAGGAAGTCGTTCAGAAGACTGGCCACGAATGAGGTTGGAAGGTGCAATTTCAAGGGATTGACCCTCCCATGCTGACTTTTGCTGTAGGACAAAAATCTGAAGGTGACCATTCAAGAGAGAAGTCCACTGTGTGCAGCAGCAGTGCTACCCCAGAGCTGTGTGACACTGCTGCCACTGACCCAGTGTTCATATTAACCATAACAGGATAGACTCAAACCCAGGCAAGCAAGTTCTTTTAGCGTCCTCTCCATAGTCATCTTTATAACTGCTCCCTTTTTCAGCCTAAACCCCACTGGCTGAAAGAGTGGTTTTGTAGCTAAAGCAGACGTTAGTATTTGTAAGTTATGCCCCCCCCCCCAACTCTGTCTGAAATAGGGAGTATCATCTTGAGATTAGCCGCCCCGTGCCTCAGTTTCCCCAAAATGCATAATGCGTTTGGTATACCTTACAGGGGTGTTGATGCTTCCCTGGTATTTGCAAAGGCCTTTAAGAAAGTGACATGGAAACACAACATGGTATTATTTTGTAGATTAGCGCCAAGCGGGAGGTGAAACTATGCTTTCCATGATTATATTTATGAAAAGAGATATTCATTCTGTCCTGAACAGTTAATGCAAAAGCTTGATGTGGGGAAGACGCGAATCTGAGACGCACTCTCTCGGAGCTTTGTGGGCTGTCTAATTTTCTTCTAAAACCACTGAATTTTGCAGAGTTCCAACCAACTCTTTTGGAAAAAGCAGCCCGGAGGAAATGTAATATACTACGGTGAGCTTTGCCAGGTATGAGATCATAACATTGCTTTGATGGTGTGCTGGCACCCTGTTCAATTGCAATAATACTTTGCGTTTACAAAGCATTATACAGTAGGCTTGATACATGGTGCCGACATTGCTGCTTTACATGACTGTCAGTGTAAAAGAGCCTTCAAGTGGGAATAAATTAGATTTACACACACTTCTGGCCCCTTACACTATAAAGGGGCCTTCCTGTAAACAAAGTTTAGCTTTGTTTGCTAGTCAAACACCACAACACCCTGTGAGGCGGGTGGCTAAGCAACAGATAGGGAAACTGAGGCAGCGAGCTGCTATTACTCACCAGAGGCCATATAGTAAGGTAAGGGCAGCAGCTTGGGATGTCCTGATTGTCAAATCTGACTCAGACTTCCTGGCCTTAAAACAAAAGGTGTTTTTTTTTCTCATAACCAAGAACTAGGGGTCACCTAGCTCAGTATCTTGTCTTCTGACAATGATCAATGCCAGCTGCCCAAAAGGAATGAATCACCAAGTGATCCATCCCATGATACCCTTTCCCATCCCTGACAGAGGCCAGAGACACCATCCTTGTCCATCCTGGCTACTAGCCATTGATGGACCTATTCTCCAAGAATGTATCTTGTTATTTTCTTAAACACTGTTCAAGTCCTGGATCTCACAACATCCTCTGGCAGGGAGTTCCACAGGTTGACTGGGTACTCACTTAAAATCTCTCTCTTTGTAGTTAATAAACTTGTTGTATTGTTTGACCTAATCAAGTTGAAGTGGCTGAGTAACACCATTTGGAATAACAAAGTTGTGTGTATATCATTTCCTTAAGCAGTAGTTCTCAAACTTTTTGGCCCATGGCCCATTCTGTTCAAAGCAAAATTTTCCATGGACCACTACCCAGCCACCTAGGATGACAAAATGGTTGTATGAGAGGATAGGGTTGAGGTCTGGTTGAGAGATAGGGTGCAGAAACAGCATGGGGGTGGAGAGGTCTGGCCAGGAGTAGGGTGCAGATTGAGGGGGTCTGTCTGGGAGGGATGTGTGTGAGGGGATGGGAATAGGGGTCTGGGCATGAGGGGATGGGGGGACTCTTACCTGGCACCATGCCCCCTGCCGCTCCCAAGCACTGCTCCCTCACTGCTCCCATTGGCTGCAATTCCAGCCAATAAGAACAGTGCAAAAAGCCTCCTTGTGAGTGGTTTCCTGCACCGCTGTTCCCCCAGCTGCTTCCCCTCCCCACACAGCAGGAAGTTGGTGCTGGCACTGCAACCTCGCGGGAAGGGGGAGGGAGCATAGGACTGGAGCACCAGCACGGGCTCCCCACTGCAGGGGGGACCAAGTCCCAAGCCCTAAACCCACCTTTAAGAGAGGCATGGACCACTAGTGGTCTGCAGACCACACTTTGAGAACCACTGCCTTAAAGAAATGACAGACTCGTTCACGCTGTTCAGGAGAGGGCTGGGCAGCACAGGACATGCATTTCTGTGGGAGTATTTGGGACAAGGTGTGGGTTGGGGTCTCCAGGAGGTAATTTTTAAGGTGTGGCTGGGTGCCTGCAGCACCCCCGGACATACCTGGGACTGACAGTGTTCCCTGTAAACTGAATATTTGGGTGACCACCCAGGAGAGATTTAAATGCCTTCTAGGTAATTAGCAGAGAACTCACAGTGCCCACAGCTGGCAGCATGTGTTTCTATTGGTGGTGCATATCCACATGCACCTTGGTGCACATAACAAAATTTAGTCCGCTCATAGATGGAAAAAAATTAGAGGGAATACTGGCTGGGAATGATTTACATGTTGGGAGTTGTTTGCAAGTGGTCTGGGTTGGAGACTACAGCAGGAGACTCCCAAGCCAGAGTTGTTAGAAACAGGCAAATTCATAGTGTGCTAGAAGAAAGACAGGAGGAAGACAGTGTTTCAATGGAGTCTACAGGAACAGGAAACCTAGAGAGTGTGGCTGACCTGAAGGAAGGCAGCCCCAGGGAGGCAGCAGTGAACCACACTGTACCAGGGAGATTGTTTAAAGTCATATGGCAGAAGATCCAGACTCAGTGACACATAAAACACAACAGCAGCGGTAATCAGCCCTAGGCAGCAGGAGAGACCACTCAGGGCTGCACAGCAGAGATAAGAATACTTCTGGGAGTGCCCAGTTTGTTTTACAAGATAAGGCTGATAACAGGAAATGGAGGAGTAGAAGCCTCCCAGGATATTAAATTTGCAAGCTTAGAATTTAGCTCAGGTATAGAGGAGATGGAAGGAGGGGAGGGGGGAAAATCACCTCTCTGTGGACATTGCTACAGCAGATAAAGTGGGTACTATGAAAACCAAACTGGTTTGTAAGAGTGGGGGAGAGAGAGAAGTGAAACTGCACCGAAATTTTCCAAGTTCAATGCCTCTTAAAAGCAGTAATGGGCTGTTTGGATGCCCACTGTAACCCCAGGAAGAATGAAATGGTGGAAAGGTATCATTTCTTTCCTTGGGATCAAACATCTGGGGAAGGTGTGGCTGAGTACAGTGCCAATTAAATATGTTAGGAGACTGGTTCATAGAATCAGAGAGTACTTGGACTGGAAGGGACCTCAAGAGGTCATCGAGTCCAGTCCCCCGCCCTCATGGCAGGACCAAATACTGTCTAGACCATCCCTGATAGACATTTGTTTAACCTACTCTTAAATATCTCCACAGATGGGGATTCCACAACCTCCCTGGGCAATTTATTCCAGTGTTTGACCACCCTGACAGTTAGGAACTTTTTCCTAATGTCCAACCTAAACCTCCCTTGCAAGGGAGATGTGGGATGTGAGATGCACAAGACTGAGGCCGGGTCTATGGTAGACCTGGAAGGTTGGTTTAAGGTACACAACTCCAGCTATATAGAATACAGGCAGTCCCCGGGTTACGTACAAGATAGGGACTGTAGGTTTGTTCTTAATCTGAATTTGTATTTAAGTCAGAATTGGTACATAATGTAGGGTAAACTCTAGCCAAACATTTCTCCAGAGCTCAGTTTTATTCTCCCATACCTCACTTCTCAAGCTGAGGTGTCTGCTGATAAAAGCCGCTCCGCGTCTCCCTGGTCTGCTGGGGGGAAGCAGCGGGGGGGGGCGCTAGCTTTGTGTCTCCCTGGTCTGCTGGGGGGAAGCAGCTAGTACGTGGTTGCCTCACCCCGTTTATAAGTAGGGATCCGATGTAAGTCGGATCCATGTAACCCGGGGACTGCCTGTATGTACATAGCTTACCTTAAGTTGCGCTTGGCAGCATCCCCATATCTGGGAGGCCGACAGAGGCAAATGCTCTCGTGGGCTTCCCTCACTCCTCGCACAAGCAGGAGTACAGACTTTTGTTGAGAGCCCCCTCTGAGTTTGATTTAGAGAGTCTTAACTAGACTTGCTAAATCAAATGCCAGAAGGTCAATCGCGGCAGTGTCGATCTTCTGTCCAGTGAAGACATGGCCTGAGAGTAGTTGCTGAGGGAAGCAGACTTCACTGTGGATAAAAGCTTAGAAGAGAAGCAGAACTCTATAAAGGAAGCTAGCAGAAACTTCCCGTGCAATATGTAAGAAAGAGAAATCAAAACCATTTACACCATTTGAAGATGACAATGGTACAGATATGTGCAAATACTGCAAAAGACAGAAAGAGAAGCGCCTAGCTTATGGAGAAACCTGCCATAGCTGTGATAAATGTAATCATTTTGCAGCCAACTGATTATCCAAAGAAAAGAAAAACAAAACCAAGATACACACCATGAAGAAAGAGAGCGACAGTGACATTTGGGGGCATAATGTGGGTGACTGAATGGAAGGCAAACACAACGCAAGAAAACCCTAGAAAGCACCAGAAACTATTATATGCAGCCACATTCCTTGGGAAGAAAGTGATACGATTTCAACCAGATTGGGGTGGGAGTTGGAACGTTATCCCGGTCAGTCCGGTGAACCCAGACGTACAGCTGGAAGAGACTAACCAGCTGTAAGTGTAATCCACACACCTAGTGTGGTTCACTGACAATGCAGTGGCACTTAGACCACAGCAACAGCTAAGATCAAGAGACCTCTTCAGCACCAGCTGGGAGCCAGCTGGCATTTAGCTCCGAGGGTCGGAGGCTCCTATACTCAGCTTCAGAGGTTCAAATCTGCCCGGTGGTGGTTACATAAGCAATGCACCCCCTTACCACTGGAAAGCCTCCGGGTAAATGTGAAATTAAATTAAGCAATCCTAGAACAAAAGAAATACAGACTGGACTTTGCAGCCATGGATGATGAGACAACAGGACCACATCTGTGCAGCAAGGCCACCCAAGCCACAGACC